ATGGTTGGTCTTGCAAGCCGTCAGGCATGGGAACATTGGTGTCAGCATTGCCAGTCTGTGATCCTACTGCTTGAACATATCGGATGAATTCATCTGTGAGACTGAATTTCACCTTTCCACCAAAGGAATCACTACTGCATTTCTGAAACGGCAGAATGCTAGAGCCAAGTTGACAGTCACATTGTGTCTTCCTCCCCACCAAGGGCTTGCCAACTAGTGATCGAAAAGGAGATTGAACAGCGTACGTGTCCTGCACCTGAAACTGAAGCAAACTGTGTTTTTCATCATCTTCTTCTGGCAAGTGTCCCTGTGTGTGCGGAAAAACCTTCACAATCAGCCCCATTCCCGACCATGCATGGAAGGACTGTTGATCGTTCTGACAGCTAGGGACAACCCACTCAACTGTGTTGAGGGAAAATGCAGTTAGCAAAGGAATGGCTGATGTCACATCAGCTGTTGTGCACTCACGAGGGAGGACAGCCGCAAACCTGACTATCACACTGGGAGCCTCAACATCAACAAACTCGATGGAAATCAAGACAGAGGAATGATCAATGTGATTCCTAGTCAATATGATGTGGGCCACATGGTCTTCAAGGTCTGATCGTCTGGCCGTCGGAGTGGCAAGATCGAAAAAGACATGTTCACCATAGTCCAATAGATGTTGCCAAGGCTGGCGGACGTCCTCTTCCCATTCACTGGGATCGCCTCCTAGGAAAACGATCTTGGGTTCCTTGCATAACTTTTGACCCTGATGATCAACCAACCAAGTATATACCGAAAAGAGCACTTCTGGGGCTGCATCCACATCACACTGTTGCAGTGGGGAAACAATCCTTGACAGATCAATCATCCAGTCATGAGGAATCACTGACTCGGTACTCTCCCGGCTGTCTGAGGACTGAAACACTGGTTGGTCATCATTGCTGCTTGAGGCCAACTGCATAAGAATGGCAACATCGCTGTCTGGGTGTCTTGGAGCAGCTAATTGTCGTACTTCCTCGTCACTTAACATGTCGGGCGATACATCAGAAACAGCCTCGTCGTTGAGGATCTCATCAAAGATCTGTTGATCGGTGAGTCCCCTCTGAGTCAATTCGGTGATCACTTCGGTAGGGCAAGTAAACCTCTCAGATGGAGGCACTGCAATTTTTATGTAATCGCCATGTGCAATGGTTTTGCGGTCAACATCATAGTCTGGCCAACGTCTGGAGTTTATAAAAACCAGACATCGTCCGTTTTCAGCACGACAGTATCTTTCAACTTTGGCACATGCAAGCAATTCATTTCTGTTGACATGGCGTGGCAGAGGAATAACCTGTCTAGAAACTGTGGGACCTGACTGGAAATTTGTCTCGACACGATGTGCATGATATGCAATGTCTAATAAGACCAATCTGCCAGCAGTATGATGAGGAATGTCATTGACCACATGGACAATAATCGGTACAATACCAGGCTCAAGGTCTGATGGAGAGACTACGACTTCATACGCATCTACAAGAGCATCTCGAACAAGGGCAAAATGATGGGCAATTTCCGTCATCATGTCTTCATAATTACTCCAAGTAATGAGTGCTCTGATGGGCAAATCTTGCAAGTGAAAAAGGATCACATCCTGACGATCATTTTCGGAGGAAGGTGTTCTGACCACAGGAGATGCAGGGCCTTCACTTGGTGAGTATCCCTCAGATCCTTGTGGACTGTCACTGTGCGATTCTGCATCGTCTTCTCCTTGGTAAACCTGTCCTTCTTGGAAGGCATTAACCATGTCTACATTTTGACGATCAATGGGCTCATTCTTGAAACGCTTTCCAACCTGCCTTGATGTTTGTACAAGGGCAGTTTCCTCCTGGCTCCAAAAGATCGAGTCAATGCTCTGTTGCAATGAAAGGACATCCCTCTCACTACGATGAGAAACTGAGTAATCATGCATGCGGGAGTCACTTACTACTGATTCGAAAGATGGTGAAGAATGAACTTCATCGGTATCGATCTGACTGTCTTGATCCTTGGTTTTCTTTGGTTTCCTGGTCCACGGTTTTTCCTTCCAGCCTTGCAAGTCATCGTGCCAAAGAGCAACCGTAGCCATTTGGATCTCATCATCAAGTCCAATGTGAAGCAAAACTTTCGCATTGAATTGCACAGATTTGGAGGTTGTGATAGGAGTCTTAAATTTTCTCAAACAAGGAATCAATGGCTTGCAGGAAAAAGGAGACAAGTTCTGCTGATCGAATACTGATGCTGAAACCGTAGGTGAACCATCGCCGTGGAGCAAACTCGGCCTACCAGCTGATAATGCTGCAACACTGCAAACAGTACCTTTTTCAAATAAAATTTCATTCGTCTGTGATATGCATGGAGTTGCAAAGTCATATTCATGTTGTACTCTGCCAAGAGGAGAGAGATCACTGCAACCAGTTGACAAGCACCTGAACTCGGTTTGAAAGTCCTCGCAAAGACAGTTCCAACGCAAACCCCATGCCGATAGAACCGCTAAGCCCAGACCATTCCTCGAAATTGAGTCAATGTATTGCCTCCAATAGAAGGAGGGACCTGCAACCAGATCTACATGCTCCTCGGTGCTTGCTGCACACATGGCTGGTGACCATGCATAGGCCTCAACACCTTGGACGCAACCAGAGGCGTCATGCAAGTTATTCTTTTGAACTAACAATGCACCGCCATCGCTCACATGGCCTTGGCCTCGGCAGAGGACACTGAGGGAGCACCACCACCAAACGGCTCTAGTGATCGAGGTCGCTTTTGCCTGCTTTGATCTGTCAATGCTGGATCTGGCAGATCCGATTCCATCTCTGTGGGGCATTTGTTCGGCCCTTGCAGGGGTAATTCCACTCCTAACGAAGCTGCACAGCTTTGGAGCACTGTTTGCAACTGCTGTTGCATGGCCTCCTCCTCGTCGTCGGCACCGAGGGTCAGGTCCTCCGTCTCCGCTGTAATTGCTGTAATAGGAGGCATCGCTGCAAGCGTAGCAGGTGTCGCTTTTGAGGACAATGTTTGAATGGCATTTCTTGCATTTTCGATGTCCACACGAGCTTTTGCTGCTACCTCCTGCAGTGGGGCTTGCTGTTGGCGATATTCGTGCAGCTGTCCCTCCCAGGTCTTCGCAGCTTCGGCAACATGTTTGGTCCAACGTGACCTGTGTGCACGTTTGGCCTCCAACGTTTCTGGCAGAGTTTTCTGAGCTTTGCCCAGAGCTGTTGTTGCGGAGTGCAAATTTTTGGTGGTAGCTTTCGAATGTTCTTTCTCCAGTTTTTCGATGTCGTTTTCCATCTTGACAATCAAATCCTTTGTATCTTGTGGCATCATAGCAGAGTCCGTATAGGCAGTCTTGAGGGCATTCACTACCTCTCTTTTCTGAGCTATGGTCTCGTTGGCCTGAGCAACCATAAATGGAGTTGAGGATGGGGGAACTGTAGGCATCAAATTGGATGCTGCACCTTCGAGCGATGGCCATGGTGGAAGCTCCGTCGCTAATGGTGTAAAGGGGGACTGTCCCAAAGAAGAACTGGCAATGTCCTTCGATTTGTTCTTCCCTCCTTTGCTCTTCCCCTTGTGCTTGCCTTTGCCGCCTTTTTTGCTGCTGTGATGCTTGTGCGCATCGGACTTCGCACTTCTTGTGCTGGCTTGGGACTGTGACCTCGATTGAGCTCTGTCCCAATGATGGGGAGCATCTGTGTTCTCCCAAGCGTCCCACTCCCGGGACCATTCGTCCCAATCCTTCCAGCTGGCATTCTCCTGATGCTGCGGCTGTTGCTTGGGTTCGGTATTGTGACGAGTACCACTCGTCCAGTGTGCATAGCATATTACACACTTTATAGCCTGCTTTTTGTTGATGCGTTGGCAGTGTCCACATCGCCACGGCCACAACTCCATCTCCATGATCCTCTTTGAGATTTTCTGCAAAAACTTGCTGTCCCTGGAATGGTGAGCAGACAGCGTGTGTCTGATCTTCTTGAGGCGCACCACGTTCAATGTCACCAGACCTTTCCGGTGTAAGAACCAGTCGCGACGTGCCGCCTGACGCAGCCGTCGATTCCGCCTTCTCTGTGTTCCAGTTTGGATTGTAATTGCGAATAGAGTCAAATCCCACAATCAGCAGAAGAAAAAGGAGAAGGAATGAGCACATAAATCAGCCAAGCAAATCAAATAAAAAATTTCGTAGTGCCAGGGAAAATCCAGTTCAGCACGATTCAATTGTACAAAATCTGTCCACAAGGCCAAAAATATAGCAGCAAGTGGAAGGTATATGATCAAAATCGCGAAATTGTAAGGGCCCAGAAGGACCACCACAAAGCACCCCTGATTTATGTACCGGTGTCCAGCCACCGCAGAACCAGAAAAATCAGATAACAATGAGTGCAAGTGAAGGCGATATCAATGAGTAGCCCAAATAAATTGTAAATTGAGTAACTGACGTCACACCAGCGCACAGCAGTTTAATGTGAGTCAGAAAGCAAAAATAGGTGGTGTTGCAGGCGCAAATAGGCTTGGGGACACGTCAACCCAAGCAATAAGGCACCAGCCAAAACCGAGAAGAGGTCGTCCAATCGACCCGTGGGCAACGGCACAGGAAGCCCACTTAGGCTATGGCTGAAACCCTGACGATCGAAAACCGCCGGGGGGAATCCTGAGCCAAGCCTTCGAAGACTACCAAGATATACCAAGATCCTGTAAATTAAATTAGCCATCTTTTTTGTTTGCTAAACATTCTAGAAAAAATTATCACGTTTCATGGCTATCCATGGCTATGTGAAAGCTATGTGAAAAATCAGAGTTGATTCCGAAGATCATCCCGAAGATGTCAATGTTCGATCTGAAAAAACAAGGCATAAATGTGTATGTATACACATATATGTATGCATATATTACAAATATCATGGAATATTATGTATATTATAACATTTTGTGTATATTAAATATCTATATTTGAAACCATCAACCAGTGAAGTTACAAGTCTCCCATCACACAGCCCGGCCTCTCAGCAAGCAAAGCCCATCGTTCCATGGGAGGGGCCAAAGGTTCTGCTGGAGGAGTGATTCCTTAGGGCTGCCTCTGGCTGCGAAAAACACTTTGCTATGGAAGCCACCCATTTGTAGATGATAAACATGATCTACCGAATTACCATCTGGTTATTCGGTTATGACTAACAGGCCATGGAAGCCATCACCATGCTATTAGGTTCGGTAAACCATCTATTTCGATTAGGGCCATCGAAAAACCATGGCAAACTGTTAGTCATAACCAGAGGCTAAACATGGTGTTTTTCCAGTTCCCTACGTTCAAGAACGGGTCATTTGTGGGATCTCTTCAGATGGCCATCTCGAAAAAAAATCCTCACGATTCCCGAGGGATCCCTAGGGATCCACAAAAAATGAACCATTTGCTTGTTATGGTTATTTGAACCATCTATGTGGATTATTTTTTGTTATGGTCAACCTTTAGTTTAATCCTTTTGCTTATGGTTATTTGAACCATTTATAGCTAAAAAAACATTTTAAAAAAACTAAAGGATTAAACTACCCAACCAAGGTTTGGGGAAAATTTGGGATGACAACTATAAGTATAGATTACCAAAATGGATCCCCTTATGCTGGATTTCTCTTCGCAAATTTAACGATTCACCTTCAGTCAGGGTTGCCTATCCAGCACTGGGGGAACCCAGTCAGAACATGAAATTTCTTGGAGCCCAGCGATTTTTAGCCACGTTTGACACCATCAAAAATCGAAGCATACTGAAGTGGAGCCAAGTTTGACATACCCGGAGAAAAAGCCCCTACAAGCCATCGACCCAAAACTGGGAGAAAAAGCCCAGTTTTTAGCATGAGCATCAAAAAATCCCACCAACTGACGTATGACATAGACCCAAACAGGGGGCTGGAAGATGTTGGAAAACAAAAAGGCGATTCTCACGGCATTCGTTCGGGGGATGCTCGTTTCTTCTTTTCAGGCTGGCATAGATGATGTTGTTTATACCTCCTGAATTCCAGCGTTCCAACTGTCTCTATTTATGTGTTCAAATATATATATATATCAAACTATATCATACATATATAATATATAATTGTAATTTTGATATCATGTGCAAAAAAAAACTATACATCTATTTATGTCTTCAACCAAAACTATATATATATAGAATGTATAATTTCCATCAATTTCCCATGGGTTTTCATGTCAAAAATTACAGCGTCTCTGGGCCCAGCGGCCCAGGGTCATTGACTCTTTGATCTTTTGCTCCTCAGATCCGGCCCCTTTTGGGAGGGAAGCAGCGTTTTTCCCATCAGCCGTTCATATTAAACACCCCATTTCTATGGTCCCCAAAAAATGTGGAAATTCCCTACTAAACCATGGTTTCCTTCAGGGGGTGTTGAATATTAAAAGGGGGAAGGGATTAATCATGTTGGTAAAACTGGGTGCCATAAACCTACATTTATGATAGGAAAAATGGGGGGATACCATTTACAAATATGTTTTTGATGGAGTTTATACCAGCCATTAAAAAAAAAATGATGACTGGGGGATGGTTTATGACATTGTTTTAACCACATGATTCGCTGATCTTTGAAGTCTCATTGGCACACGGAAGAAAACTGAGTTGGGAACGGGTGATGCTGCGCAGCTCAAGAATTCTGTCAACTAGCCAAGAATTTCTTCCTAAGGCTAAAATGTTTTGTTTCACATGTGGCAAAGCCACTCCTCAATACCGCATCGGTAGCTTCAAGATGCTGGACCACATGAGTTTCCACCACCGTGTGCACCCAAAAAGCTGAGCAAATGGCGGCCCATGGCTCATCAATAGCCTAACAAAACTTACTGAGCTGGGTATGATTCTATAATATTCTATATACAAACATGCAAAAAGTAATATGTATACTTGGACATGCATCCCAGTTAGTAAGCGGTTGATAAGAATACAACCCTTGTACCCCAGTTCCAAAACGCGCTTAGCAAATGGGATGCACCCCTGTAAGCCTACGTATATCACCTGAGGCAGCTCAGTCCTCCACAATGGCCTCGTACTTTTCCAACTCTTTGCGCAGACGTTCGTTGGAACTCTTCAAGTTCTTGGTTTCCAACCTACAGTAACAAGGGACCCGCCCTAGGGACCAGTGTCTCACCCCCTTTTTGGTCAGTGGATCTTGGAGAACACAGAAGCCTTCAGAACCCTTCGACTTGGTTTACCCATGGATTTTGGATGGACTTGGGAGGATAAGTTGGGATTCTTTGGGAGAACTTAGTGGATTGAAATGCGTCTGTATTCACGGGTTCCTAAGTCTGATGATCCAGCATCCCCACTTACTATGCCTTTACCAGCTTCTTTTGTGCCGGCCATCATCCGGACAAAATCAATGTGGCTCTAAAGCTCTGACGGCATTGAACACGCACGTTCCATATGGTAAATATACGTAGCCATGTGACGTATGCTGCTGCAGCAGAACTTTTTGGAGTTGCGCCAACTCTGTTTTCACGAGGTGCTCATACGGTGATTCAGTACCTGGGTAGCTCACTGGGAGACGACAAAAGTCGTTTCTGGCGTTGCGTGCAGAAAGCTCCTCGGCTTTTCAAAACATGTCTTTTTTAAAGCCCAGGAGAGAAGTTGTCCAAAAACCATCAAAAACCGTGGAAAAGGCCATGATAACGTGTGCTTACTATTTCTGATATCTGCGGGTTGTGTGATATGTAAATCCCATCTGGTGCTTGTGGCAGTGCCAACTCAGGTATTTTTTTTACAGACTCAAGGCCCAAACCGTGCCAAGGTACTGATATGATCCAGCACCGATTTACCCATGGCGCCAAGGTCCAAAGGTCACAGGTTCAAAGGTGGAGAGTTCATGCTGGCCCCATATGAATCAAGGGATTGGACATGATTGGACTGCCGGAGATCACCTGCCAAGCCAAACTGCCAAAGTCTTGAATCAGATCCTACTGTGGCCGGTAACGGCTATGACATGCAGTGTTGTTCCCACCAGTTTCATGTGCGAGAGCTTCTGCTGAGCCCCGGGGCTGTGGGTCGGCAGACTTCAGGCGCGAGCGTGTTTTTAGTTGAGGAAACCTGTGGTGGATCTTGGTGTCTCTGAAAATTTTACCGCAGTAAAGCAATAATAAACCACCCATATACAATGGTAAATCAAAAACCAGAACTTTCACGAGAAATCACAGTGAATTGATCCCACTTTGTTTCTGGGATAATCCCACAATTCGTAACCAGATAAGATCCGCGGATCTAAGTGCCTTCTGGTTCTTTAGCACTTTCCTATGGCATCGATGGCCCATTTATAGATGATAAACATGATGATTTACCTTTTTTGGGTAAACTGACGTCATGTGGAAAATCGCCATCTTTGTAGCTAAATCATCTATAAACGGACAATTTTCCACATCTATCTTAATGTACTGTCTCGAATCAAATCACCAGCTTGGGCCGTGCCGCGGTGCCACCGGAAGCTGCGCTTGGTGCCTTGCGAGCACCGTTGCCCAGTAGCAAATTCGCCTGACGCGTGGAGGTCAGCTACCAGGTCAGCTACCAGCTACAGCAGTTGCGGTTTGTGGGATTTAAAAATAGTACAACCAGGGGGATAATCATTGGGAGATGATGGAGATATAATGGGATATACCCTCTGGTAAACTAACATAGCTATGGAAAATCACAATCTTTTATGGGAAAATCAACTATAAATGGCCATTTTCAATAGCTATTTTGACATAACCAGAGGGTATAACCAACGATTAAGATGAATTATGTCATCTGGCAAGATGTTTTCACGACCTCAAGTCGTGACATCCCTGGAATGATGGTTGATTCAGCCAGATCATATGTAACCTTATTTATAAGAGAATAATGACTGGACATTACATATGGATAGTATTGGGATGTATATATATATATATATATCCAGATTATTGTTCGGTTATATAAGTTATATAAATTAAACTACATATAACTTATATATAGTAGCCCATGACAACTATAGTATATGTTTAATAGTTTACATATAACTTATAACCCATACATGAGTTTAAACTACATTATATATATATATATAAGTTTTGTGTAGTTTAAATCCATTCATCTGAACCAATGGCAATGACATAGTTCCTCCTGGAGTCTGCTGCGCCATCGAGATGGGGGGGTCAAAAATCATCAACCAACAGAGCTACTTCTCTGACCAATTGTCATGCTCTGTTGGTATCTTAAACCCCCAGAGAAAAAAAAGAAAAAAAAACATGATACTGTAAATTTACAGTATCTTAAACCCCAATGGTATCTTAAACCCCAAGATGCTATGTTGAAAAAATAGAATTACTCTTCAGTATCTGAAAAAAAAAAACCTCCCATTCAGAATGAATACACTAAAACTACAGAAATATTTTGAAATACCCAACATCTTCCCCGAAGTTTGCATCCCCAACATCTCCAACATGAATCAGCCTGTTCGGAGAGGTCCTCTGATGGTAGACCCAAGCGTTCCGCCTCCTTTTTTGCGTCCCAAAGGATGGAGGAGTTGACCCATGGGTAAAAACGGTGAAACACCAATTTCACCCATGAAAAAATGCTGGAGTTCACCTAAAATTTAACGAGGATTTACCGCGATCCGTTTTTTCACTGGGAAAAAAGGGATTGGGACCAGCCATGGAACATGTGAACGGTTGAACGGGATACAACCAACTATACTTTGAAACATAGGGTGTATCATCAAAAAAGGATTTAACTCGATTTAACTCAGGAAAATTGGAATATAATGGGGAATTTAATCAACTAAAGCTATAATGGATTATAATGGGACATCAATTTAGATAGTGGAATATTTTTTGGTGATATGGCTCACCATCATATTATATTTGGGCGCCTGCAATTAGAAGAGTTAGCCTCAATCATAATATATAAAGAATTGGACCAATATCCCATTACATCCATTATTGATCATTATTGGGTGTACCATATATAGCCATGAAAAAGAGGGAAAAAAATAAGACTAAATTGACATAAATTGACTAAACCCTGGGATCTCGGGATACCTTTCAGACTGGCCAAATGAAGCTTGGTGCTGTCGATTTCTTGCGTTTCAACCATATTAGACACAAAACAATTTCATAAAAACATATAATGATATATCATATACATGAGGGTAAACTAACATGGATGTGGAAAACCCGTATGGCTTTTTTTAGGAAACTTTCTAGAGATGAGCAGTGTACAGTTTGAGAATTGGGGTGGTTCTCCACATCTGTGTTAGCTTCCAGGAGTGTAATGGGTTTCATAATAGTTTAATATCCCAAACCTTGGGGTTTATCCCAACCAGGCGGTTGGTGGAAAAAACAAACCAGTTGGGCTATGCGAAAATCTTGGCAACTTCAACGAGACGAATCTTTTGACCAAGCTGAAATGAGATGATGCCTGCACTGCAGTCACGATACAAAAAAAATCCACAATTCCTGGGTATTAGAATAAGACGATGCAACTTCCAACCATTCCCGGAGTTGAAATGAGGCCCAACTTCTGGCCCAAAATGGGACCATTTAAGTATCGACCATTTCGGGTGAGGTTCGTTGAGGCATATATTATCAATCAAACCTGGCAATGAAAACTTCCACACCTCGAAGAAGTGCCAGATTGGATTGGTTTTGCTGTGAAAGTCTTAACCGGAAACCATAGATTTTCCCATGATTTCTATGGGGCTTTCCGGTTTAAATTTTCCCCAACAAACTAATCCATTGAAGTACAATGGCCAGGTTTCCAGAGGATCTTTCCGATGAGCGAAGGGCCCCAGTCCTTTCTTTTCTTCAACCGCAGGACGGCCTCCGAAAAAGGGGGTGCGATTTGAGACCGCCGACTTTGTTGCTTGGCATTTGGGTATGTCCCAAAGTCCGGGGGTATATACCCATAGGATCCATGGTGCTGGTATATATGCTAACATTGGGGGTATATTGATGGTAAATGTGACCATATATAGCATACATGGATCCTATGGGATACCCTTCGATATCCGATATCCCTAAGATATTTAGATCTCTACAGCTCCATGTTCTGTCACATGGTAATCTCGATGAGCAGCGCAGCAGCCATTTTTCCTTGGGAATGGGATAGTGTCTAAGATATCCTTGCAGTAAGTCTGAAGATATCCCCTATTCGCCTATTCCGACTGATAATTTCCCATACATTTCCAGGGAGAATCCCCATGAAGAGTTGCAAATATGTCCCCTATGGGCCTCACTGTCCAAACCCCGCCCTGGCCGGTATGCCATGGCCACGGTGCTGCTGTTGGGTCGGTGAACTCCGACTGTGCCCGTTTTGGTGGCTGGTGGCTCCATCTAGTTCTTGGTTGAATCATCTTTAATGCTGGTAAAACAAGGCAGTAAACCATCCCGAAACTTGCCAGAAATGGGTGTTTTTTGAACCATCAAAATATGGGTGGTTTATGGCATTGTTTTACTAACATTATTTTGGAAATCAGGGAAGGACTTGTATGACTTGTCTTAAGAGATGGCTCAAAAAAATCGCTTTTTTGACCCAGATATCCAATAAGGATTGCTCAAAAACACTAAATGATGGTTCACTACTTGGGGAGCTGATGACACTGGAGGGTAGCTTCAATGATTCCCCCCCGGGATTTGTTCTTCCTCATTTTGCAAAGCGTGGCTGTCGCAACAGCTGCGATGAGCAGAACACATTCGCAGCATCGACAGCAGGTTGCGGGCTGCGTCGATATGGTAGTCTAAATCAAGCTCGCAAATTCCTCTGTGCTGCTGCTTTACCTGGATCTACATGTTGACTTCAGGTACAAACTATGGCCATAGACCATATAGCTATCCATTGACAGACCATCAAACATAACTTTCGCATGCAAATTGGACAGACACATTACTTTCGCATATAGCTATCCTCAAACGGATCTGAAAGTAAATCTTCGCTTGTCCTGCGATCTCTTTGGAAATGATCTGGTTGGTGGTGAAACAACCTGTCCCAAAATTCATAGCAGTAAATTTATGGATCATAATCCAAAATATGATCAACAATTTCATCATGTAGTAAATATATAATTATATTTGTCATGAAATTTTGGTAAATTTTCAAATATGATCAAAAATCACCCATGTTTTTTCAACGACCAACCTGTATTGGTCATTTTGGGTCTGGCTTCTGCCGAGCTTTTTCACCAGCGCTGATGAGACTCTGAAGAACAATTCCGGTCGAAAATAGACCCTCGGTGATTTGGTCACAGAATATCTAGACATGAAAGATCCTAAAATAGACTATAAATGAGCTAAAATGATCTTAAATGAGCTAAAATTGACTATAAATGAGCTAAAATTGACTATAAATGAGCTAAAATAGACTATAAATGATCTTAAATGAGCTTAAAAATGATCTTAACTGATCTTATAAATGATCTTAACTGATCTTAAATGCATTTTCATTAGACAAATTCCTCAGACATCTTGGAAACCGCCGAGCAGTCCACCCTCGAATCAGTTTCGAGCCCTCAGGTATCACCGCCCGGTCGACTGTTTGCCTGGAGGCCATGTCGACTCTGATTAGTAACCCATTGACAACCCAAGAGAACCATTGTCTTGGATAGTCAGTGTGACTTTTTTTCACTTACTATGGACTTACGTTTCCTAATCCTATGGGGTAGGAAAAATCATCCCCCAAAAAAATAAGGGACCCAGTAAGTCCCATTTTATCACCAGTCAACCGGGGTATTTCGACAGCTCAAGGGGATCCCAGCAGTGCATGTATAGTGCCGAGAAAGTGCGCGCTCTGTAAACGTGGCAGAACTTTGCAATGGA